ATCTATAGCACTTGTTTATTTCCACGAGCAATTGTATTCAAATTAGATACACATGCACGGCAACAATAAAATTAGGGTTCAAATTAGATACACATGCACGGCAACAATAAAATTAGGGTTAATTGTTAAATAAATTTTAACATTTTTGCATTTGGCAATTTTATCCCAATCTTTGGATAATTACAATATAATCTCGACCTCAGTTTACTTATTGCAAGTCGAAAAACTAAAACTGATTGGACCTTCAAAAAACTGGTTAATTTGATGACGGTTCAAATAGATCGAAGCTTATATTTACCGATTCACTCCAGATCTAGGAGGATACTCATCACCGGTAGCTTACATTGACGTGGAATTTTCGGCTTTGTGCGTGGATATACATTGAATATGTGGAAATTGTCAACTTGCTACGTGGATGACATAAACTCGTGTCAATAGAAGATTTAGACACAAAATCGATCCACAAACCCTAAAATCAATCACTCTGTACCCAAATTTGCATTAAGTAAATTGAAGTCGAGATTATATTGCAATTACTCAAAGATAGGGATAAAGTTGCCAAACACAAAAAAGGTTAAAGTTTATTTAGCAATTAACCCATAAAATTATGGTTGAATATATGCAAGAAACTAATCAAAAGCGCTTGAAAATAATTATTTCAGTTTTGTAAGCCATGACTGCTGATTTATTAATGTTTTTTATAGTGTCCGTAATTTGAGCAGCTGATTTCTGAATATTTGGTTTTCAAGTAGAGGAATATATCATAGTAGTTACAATGAATGTTAATAAACATGGAGGAATATTTAATACCTTGAAGTAAAACAACTTTAAAATCTAAGGCGCTCCTCCTCCTCCTCTAGGTGTTGCAGGAAGTCCATAACAATAGAATCCGTCCAGGGAGCTCCAAATGGGGCGGCGGCGTCGTCAACCCCCGCCACCCAACCCAAATGACCGCCTTTCGGTGTAACTATCAACATACAGTTGCTGTTTTTCTAACATAACAAAGCTTCATATTAATGATATACATAATTTCTACAAACGTGAAATAGCATACAACACAGCAAGGAAAAGAAGGCAAACAAACCTCTATGTCTTCACGAGGAATTCCCCGAGATGGTGCAATCGGATCATTTTCAGCCTGACACAGATTATTATTTATTATAAACAAAAGTAAACCAACAACAGATATGCCTTTTTTATCACATGAATCATAAACTACACTATTTCCAAGATAAACTATACTTGCCTGAATGCAAAGCAGAGGAATGGTGACATTCCTAACAAAATCTGAACTGCTCGACTTTGAGTAGTATTCATCCACAGATTGAAATCCAAATGAAACTAAAAGTGAGAATAATAATATTACTTAGCAATCAGTGGTGTACATACTAACATTTCTCATTAGTCGTAGCGTAACAATATACACAAACCTCGGGTTAGCCCCTCGTCGAATTCTCTCACAGATTTGGCATTAGCAGCAAGAGGAATATTGAATTCACCTCCAATATCCTCAAAAAGAAGACCATGTCTGCAAATAAGAATGTAGATGTAGATGCAGTGCAATCAACATTTCGGATGTCTAATAAATAAATTAAGAAAATATTCCAAGAGGTGACAAGTGAAATAGAAACATCGAATTTCACGGTATTCTAAGTATCAAATAATACTACACTTAAACAAAGTCCTAAGACCATCTCCAACCGAAAAACTCATTCTCAAACTCAAAAGAATATTCTTTTTCACATCAACTTTACAACTTTTCAATACTACCTACATATTTAACAAGTTTACAAATTAGACCCCTAATTATTTTATATTCGATTGAAAAATAGTCAACTAAAATATATAAATTAATAATAATTAATAAAAATATTAAATACATATTTTTCGGGTAAGTAAAAAATTACATTATTCTTTATATTAAAATTGAATAATATTTTAAAAAAAGGTTATATTATTTGAATTTATTATCAATATTTTCTTAATCTCTTCACAAATTTATTCAAACTTTTGTAGAAATTTCCTAGAAATATTTCACAAATACTTTCATAAAGTTTTGATTAAACCTATAATAGAATGTGCATGCCCTGTATAAATGTCCAATTTTATTTGTGTATATTTCATATTTTTGTAATATTATTTTAATTGTGCCAAGTAATATGAAAACACATATAAATATAAATTAGAGAAACAAATATATTTCATAAATTAGTTTTTTATATTTTATATAAAAATAACAATTTTACATACCCAACAAATAATATATATTTTGTTCATTCAAATCAATAATAACAACTTTATAGCTACAAAATTACTTGGCACAATAAAAAATATTATGGCATGTAAACTAAATTATAAAAAACAATAAATGTAATATCAATTATATAAATTTTGATAAATAAACTAAAACCTAACAACTATTCATTACTCTAAAAATCATAATAAAATGGGGCAAAAGACAATTCACATCACTTTTTGGGGCCAAAATCAATTCACAAAAAATTTTGCGTTCATGAACAGTGGCCCAAAACGCATTTTGGGTTTCCGTTTGCGGTAATTTTCTACTGTTGCGTTTGGTTTGCAGCTCCGTTGGAGTTGCTCTAACCTAAATATATCCCATTGGTATTCTAAGCAAATGGGCCCAAAAGCCCAATTATGGAATTAATTGAAATATAAATCCATCTCTAACATAACATATGGTATATTCTTGATTTGGTTTGAAGATAATAATTTACTTTGTTTATGTCACATACTTGATTCAACTATATCATTGCACCACATATAAAGACACAGGTATAAACATTTGAAGAAGACCAGAAGGGGGCACGACATTAACTCTTTGCTTTTCTCAATACAAAAATCCATTAATCTAAAAATAAACCTCAATCATTACACTATATTGCAAAGTTTTAATACAATTAGTATCATAATAATTTTCTCAAGTCTCAACTTCGACGAAACGAGCCGAGCCGACCTCAAACATATTCTGCTTTAAATAGATCGACTCTCATGCTGCTAAAGGTGCAAGTATCATTGTTCAGGTAGTACACACAAATAATATAATTTCTACAAGAGTGTTCAAAACAAGAAAACCAGAATAGCAAAATTATGATTAATGCACCAATATCAGGATAAACCAGTAATACAAATGAGTATGGGGATTGTTCAGCATTTATGTATTTGTCAAACTTTATTCATGGCCATACACATAGGTATTACGATAATTATTTATAAGAGAATAATTATTTGTCAAACTTTATTCATTCCATTAAAAATAAATAAATAAATAAAAATAAAAAGATGTACCTCCTGAAGATTTTGCAAAGAGCATTAGCCAGAGCTTTGTCATAAACAATGTTAAAGCCTTTACGAAAATCTTCATCTGCAATTACCAAATTAAATGGATTGCATAAAGATATGGCACCAGCAAGAGGGCAAGTGAAAGATTCCTGGCACAATAGAGTATGAATAAGAATGGGCAGTAAATTTGGGAAAGTAACAGCAAAGATAAAGTGGCCCCAGAGTATCACACTGAACTGTTAGGAAGATAAAGAAAAACTACTTAACCAGTTAACCACTGTAATCATATGACCTACACTACGTGTTGGACATAAAATAATACTCCCTCAGTCCAAAAAAGATGGTTCCATTTCTCATTTTGATACAGATGAAGAAATAAATCCAACGTATATTGTAAAATAATATAAAATCTAAGGGTCCCATTATACTCTTATCCATAACTCCAACGTTGACTAGTTCGTGGGTTATGCATCATCGAATGGGTATAACGTGGAAAAGCCAATAATATACACTAACAAAAAGGACTACCATAGACTATCAAAATGTGAAGAAGTACATATTCAAAGCCGATCGAACATATAAGACCATAAATACATTTTGTTTTCTTTTCTTTTCTGGAACACGAGCTCTCTCAGAGATGGAATGTTGATTAAGAGCAGAACATCTCCCCAAGTAAAAATATAAAATCTGAGAAACAAACTGGAAAATTTTATCGTGGCAATTTGTAGTAGAATGAGGACCAACATTCATTGGCTGGTGAAAGAAAAATCCGAAAACCTTGCAGTGGAGGGGTAAAATTAAGTATAAGTGCAGACAACAATCTCCAATAGCAACATTCAATCAACTTGTCACCCCAAAGATCCATAACTTACTGTTAGGTATACGGTAGAAGCTCGACTTTATACAGTTTTGAATAAGAAACATGTTTTAGTCAAGTGCAATTTATTTATATATGTAAGCATAGTTCCTTTGTTTTGACGTGTCTTACAGAAAGATCATATTATCGTTGTCTAGTAAAATATAAATTAATTGTTCACAGCTCACACATAATTGAACTAACTGTCGTGAAAGGCAGTAGTGTGATTTTGAATAGGTTGGTCTTTCACTCATGAATTACACTAGTACATCTCGGATGTATTGGACTGACGTACGGAGAATAAGATTATTAAAATTATTTTATATTGACCAAGTAAATAATCTAGACTTCAGTAACTATTGTATTTATTTCAGCCGTAAGACAATATAAACAGACATGTATATTTAGTACTTGCTTATTTAACTTACCAAAGGTGAGACTTGTTTTGTTAAATCGACATACACGGTATTTTGATAAGTAATGACCGATTATATGATGTACTATAGATATCGTTTACGGTCACAGTTTCTCGGTCCGCCGGGTTGATGACATCTCCGAAATGAGTTCAGGAATGATTATCATGTTAAGCACTGCAAGCATATTAGTTTCCGAGATAATAATAAAGAATTGAGTAGTACTAGTTCGAAGAGAGAAGTTGATTAATTATTAAATTAATCAGAAACGAATTTGTAGCGCCCCATTTGTTCTGGATTATTTTGGAATTATTTATTTGTTTTTATTGTCCTAATTTATTTTATTTGTGCTCGATAATTATTTTGTGACTATGTGCTCGTAATTGTCTAGTTGTTTTTATATTATTATTTAATAAATTATTTAATAAATATATTGTGTGTATTATGAATATATTAAGTCATATAATTCTATTCGTCGTTCGTCGAATTGTTCGTAGACTACCCGTTTAATCGCGTATCTATAATTTTCGGCCCAGGTTGAGATAAATTCTAGCCAAAGCGTTTAAGTAGAATATTTCCGGCTTACCTTGTATAACCGGTCCAATTGGAATTTTATTTTTTCAGCCCAATACTTTAAGCTCTTGGCCCATTTGTTTTGATTAAATGCCTTAGCAGGCCCTCTTTCCGTGAGAGTTCCAACCCAGATGATTAAAAGAAAAGCCATTCTGGTGTAGAATAGTATTATTATTATTATTATTATTATTATTATTATTATTATTATTATTATTATTATTATTATTATTATTATTATTATTATTATCTTGGAGAATAAGTTAGGAATTAAATATTAGAAATCTTGTCTTGTTGGACAAGTTAAGAATAATGTATAGGAGTCTTATTTAAAGGGCTCCCTCATCTATTGTTT